AGATTGCCTCCAGTTTTTCACTGTTACAAATAATCTTTCAATGCACATCTCTTTAAAAGCTAAATGTTAGTAGATTTTCCAATTGCGCTCCAGGAAAGATGTATTAATTTACTTTCCTTATTCTAAAGTATGAAAATTCAGTCCTAACAATAGGTATTATAATTTTAAAAATGTTTCCAATTGTTAAGAGTAAAAGAGTGTATTATCATTTTTATTTGAATTATTTTTTTCTCCTAGTGAGTTTAAACAGTTTTTATGGACAGATGAGCCTGGCAGGTTATAGGCCATGGGGTCTCAAAGAGTCAGACACAACTGTAATGACTTAACATGCATGCACGTGTATTAAGTATATATACATGTTTTTGAGGGGTGTAAATTGCCTTTTAATATTCTTTGTCTATTTTTATTTTGGTGTGTTTTTTTAGTGTACACTATACAAAACAATGTAACCTTAGAGGTTTTTCAACTGATTCCTCCTGTATTAGAATCAACTATGCTTTGGATTTGCAGTTATAATTTTTAAAGTAATCTTGGGATTAATTATTTAATATAATTGCAAGCATGAACCAAGTTTTCTATTTTCACCAGAACTTTCTTTTGGTTTAACTATCCAGCAGACATTCGTATCTCTAGAAGCATCTGATGCTGTCCTGGGTGTGCAGATAGAACAAAATGGCTAAAGGATTCAGGCTCAAGTACAGTGCATTTAAGCTGAGGTCTGGAGGATCCCAGGAGAGACCAGATGTATTTCCCAGGAGGTATTTTCAGGCTTCCTAATTTTTTCCTCGGAGGCTAATCTATATATATCCCCAGTAGGAAGGTAGTCACTTGTGCCGCTCTCTAACTTGACCCCCTCTACCCAGATGGACTTCTGAACTCACACTATTCAGACCTGCATCCCTCTGAGTAGAAAACACACATAGCGATGTCAGGATGTGTGCCAGTCAGTTGTCCGGGGCCTCCTCAGCCTCTGTTGTGGGATTCCCTGGACTCAGATCATATAATCTGAGATATTAGCTCTGGAGGGGATCTTTAAGATAAGCTTGCTGCACCACTTAGTTTATGAGTGAGGAAGCTGTCAAGAGGAGGGGAGTGACTAAGGTGACAGAGTGCAGGTGACATGCTGGGATAAGAACTTGGATTTCATGACTCTCACTTCAGTGTTTATTGCCTTGTCATGCTGACTTAAAGACTGGTATCGGGCTTCTTCCATTATCTAAGTGAACTCTTAATTTCATTTTAATTTGTGTCTGATTAAAAATAAAATATTTTATTAAATATTAAATAAATTTGCATTCTACCTCATTACATTCAAGCCTCAGTCAGCTTGCACTATTTTATATGGTGGCAAATTGGGACTTTTCTTGTGTAATGAAAATAGTCTGGTAACAGGGTTCACGCAGCTTTCACAAACTAAGAATAGAGGACTGTTTCTCCCAGTCATTACAGGATGGTTTTTTAAAGGACTGCACACATAGATTAAGCCTAGGTATCAGTTACCATTGTTTTCCCATCAGTTACCATTGTTTTCCCTTCCAAATAATAAAATCAGGTGATGTCTGTAAGTGCTTTCATTATAAATATTAGAGAACATGCTGCTTAAAACAGAGCATGGATAACTATAGGAGGAGGGGTCTGGAGTGCTGATTTTGTCCTTGAATGTTGATGGTTCCATCTTGCAGTGAGATTTATGTTTTGCTGTTGGCAGATGGTCCAATTATTACAATTTTCTCTACCAAAAATTTTCTGCATTTCTTTTCTTTTTTCTGTGAACATGTACCCTCTCAGAGTAATGCTACCAATGTCATTGTGGAATAGCCATTGTTGTTCAAAGGATGAATATGTTCTCTTTTTGTTTTAGGCAAGGTGACAGCTAATTAATTCAGTCATGCAACCTGCAGAATAGGTATCTGAATCAGATTAACATAGTCTTATTTATTTTGTTATAAGTCGCAGCTGAATTCCAATTCTGCAAATAGTTCTGTTGTGAGGTGACAGGTTATGGAAAAAATATAATGGTGATACAGTGGCAGGGACTTTAGTTCAGATTACTCAGTAGGAGAAAACTTGCGTAAACCCATATATTTCTAACTCTAAAAATTCTGTGTACAGCTCAATTACTAAAATATTTCTCTTTTCCCTCAGAATGTTCTTTTTTAGCATTCCATAGATAAGAGTCACTCCTTAGAAATATGCATTGTGGTTTTTATCAGCGGTTCTATATTCTATAATAGTATCTATTAGTCCTGGAAAAAGGAGGAAGGTGATTATGCTAATTATGATATAAGCAGCTGGATTCATGGAAAGTTGTCACACATCATAGTCTTCTGGCTAAAGTCTTATAATGAAAAAGAAATGACATTTAATCTGGTATGTCTGGTAATGCTCCCAACTTATTCTCTGCTTCATGGCCACACCCAGTATATCCAACATGGGTGGCACATATGAATTCAGTCCTCTTGACTGCAATCAAGAGAGCATTTTAACCAAATGCAAACTCAATATTAATGGAAAAATAAATCAGTATAGATGTGGCATTGACATTTGTCTATGAAGAACATAGACATAGAAAAATTCTAGGATGAAATACTGATATAAAATTAAGTTTGAGGATGAAATAGTGACACTATAAGCATACTATGAAAATTATATTTGTATTGTGGAGATATTCATACATGTAGTTTCAAGTCTAAGGTTCATGTTGACTGTAAGTTTTCATAGTTTAAGGAATTATTTTGAAATGAATGATCTATTCTAGAGAAAGTTTGGCATGAACCTATAGAACTTAATAAAAACAGTCAGGGCAGCACTTGCACAGATTTACTAGTTTGGGAATGGGAACAGCCCATCTTCCCCAGCGTAGGGCAATGGGGCAATTATCCTGATTTATTCGCAGGATGTCATGTAAACAGCGCTTAGAATAAATGAGGTAGATATACAAGTATCATTGGGGCTACATGTCAGAAACACAACTGTGTTTAAAAAGTTAAAGTTGCAAGAAGCACAGTATGAACTATTTACATAAAGTTTACATCCTCAAAAACAATTCTATATATTTTAAAAATGAATATACATGTAACAAAAGTACAAAGCATGCATAAAGTGGTGCATGCCAACAAGCGGTGAGCGGTGATTTCTGCACTTAGAATAAATGAAGTAGATATACAAGTATCATTGGGGCTACATGTCAGAAACACAACTGTGTTCAAAAAGTTAAAAGAAAGTTGCAAGAAGCATAATATGATACTATTTACATAGAGCTTACATCCTCAAAAACAATTCTATATATTGTAAAAATGAATATACATGTAACAAAAGTACAAAGCATGCATAAAGTGGTACATGCCAACAAGTGGTGATTTCTGCACTTATTTACCTTTTAGAAAAAAGGTACTCTTCTGTGTGCATGTGTGCTCAGTTGCTAAGTCGTGTCTCTCTTGCGACCCCATGGACTGCAGCTCACCAGGCTCCTCTGTCCATGGGATTTCCCAGACAATAATACTGGAGTGGGTTGCATTTCCTTCTCCAGGGGATCTTCTCGACGTCTCTTATGCCTCCTGCATTGGCAGGTGGCTTCTTTAGCACTGAGCCACCTGGGCAGATAAATAAACTCTTTAGTAGATATGGCCAACTATTTACCTGGTTTATCTGCGTAGGTTGTTAGCATGTTTGTTTGTTTTTTTTTTTAGTACCTGTCTGTCTGCTGCAATTCAAATGGCTATGTGAGATGAGAGAACTCTAATATTCCATGTTTGTGATTAGTTTGGAAACTTTTTAAAAAGGTTTGAACCTTTTCTTACATTCAGAACCTTGGTCTACATAGTTAATTTGAAATGAGGTACAGAATACCAAGTATTGAATGAGTAGCTACACAAAGCTAGTAGTCAGTCAATGATGGCACTGTGGCTTATAGCTTGTGGAAGTGATGTGGTTATAGAAAAGCACTTTACCTGTTGAGAATGAGAGGGCTGATGGGGTTGGGCACTGAGGTTTAGAAGACATTGTAGTAAATGGAGGTGGATGGAGCAAATTATGGGCTGAGGGAGAGTAATGCTGAGCAAAATGGGGGGAGGAGCTGTCTGGTTGAAAATATACATTTGAAATGGACTTAATTAGCATAATGTTATTTCCAGGTAAGGTTTAGCCTCAGATCCCCATTTCACTAGACCACGGTAAAAGAAGGATTATGTTTTTATCTTCTGAAGGCAAGTTAGCAAGATGGTTAAGACTTAGATCTTCTGGATTCAAATCCATGTGTTCAAATCTATTCTTACATATTCAGGAAAAGCAGTAATGATTTGATGGACAGTTTGATTCAGTGGTCAGTTGAGGATCAGATGAAGTGGATTTGGAAAACACAACTTTGGTCTTTCCTTGTTAACTCATAGACCTTTGAGCCCTTGATGAATTGTTGGAAACTGGCCTGAGGCTGCAATTTTTTGACATACTTCTTCCTAAAAGTTACCACCTATCCCAGACTGGGAAGGATACAGCTTTGGACTGTAAATAGCACCAGTGCCTTTTTGCTCCTCCCTCCTGTTGCCAGCGCCCCTTTATGTGGTTGTCTTAAGAAGCTGTTCATTCTGGTGTTCGTTCTATCACTCAAAGTGCTTTTGAGAGTTCTGTTTTGAAATCATATCAATCACTTGGCCTCTTTGGCTTCAGTTTTTTCATCTGTAATGTGAAACTAATAATGCCTATTCTGACTCCTGAAGTTGTCATAAAAATCAAATGAAAAATATTTTACAAATTGTTAAGTGCAATATAGATGTTACCAATTAACACACTACTTCAGAAATTGCACCATTACCTTATGGCCGCTGTATACTTTTAGTAAAAAAAAAAAAAAAAAAAAACACCTCATACATAAATGGCATGGCCCTCTGTGTAAGCCCATTTTAAATCCTCCTGTAAAGATGAAACTTCTTGTGTTGAAATTGTGAGGGCGTTTTATGAACGAAAAATAAAATTTCATTTCTCTTGTTTTCCATCTTATGCAGGAAGTCACCAAAGCAGTCCAGCCTCTCTTACTGGGAAGAATCATAGCTTCCTATGACCCGGATAACAAGGTGGAACGCTCTATTGCCATTTACTTAGGCATAGGCTTATGCCTTCTCTTTATCGTGAGGACGCTGCTCCTGCACCCAGCCATTTTTGGTCTCCATCACATTGGAATGCAGATGAGAATAGCTATGTTTAGTTTAATTTATAAGAAGGTAATACTTCCTTGCACAGTCTTTATGCTACTTGTTAGTGGCATCGTGTTTTAAATGCTACACTAGTGCAAGTAAGGGATAAGTGCTAAACTCAGTTTTGTAGGGCTGTGAAATAAATGGCAGCAATAATGAATATTTCTAATTTTTCCTTGCTACTTCCCTTCAACTAATAATTATTGAGTACTTTTGTAAACTGCCTGTATTTTAGACCTCATTTTTGTTTTTTTCCATATCATCAGTTTTTGGAATCCATGGCTCCCTGTTGAAATGATTCTTGCTTTGTGCATAAAAGTCACTGACAAAATATCATCTTATGGTAAAATGCCATTTGCCTTTATGTACAATAACAAGAATATAGTGTGTGATTGTTATTGATCAACCAAGCAATTGATATTTCTATCTTAACTAGTTATGGGGGCTTCCTGCATAGCTCAGTCGGTTAAGCATCTACCTGCAATGCAGGAGACATGGGTTCAATTCATGGGTTGGGAAGTTCTCATGAGAAGGGCATGGCAACCCACTGCAGTTTTCTTGCCTGGAGAATCCCATGGACAGAGGAGCCTGACAGGCTACAGTTTATGGGATCACAAGAGTTGGACATGACTTAGCGCTATTTTTAACTAGTTATGACACAATGATAGTATCCACTGCCTTATTTTGAATTAGATTTTTGTCATCCTAAGTCTTGGAAATTAAAAATTTTGGAATAACACATACACAGCAACCATAAGAACCTTTCTACTTTTCCATATGCATTGTCAAGTTAAAAGCCCAAGTTGCTAAACCATGCTTTGGGTAAATTCAAACTAAGACTGCCTTACCAGGCCTTCTCTGGTGATCCAGTGGTTAAGACTCTGCACTTCCACTGCATGGGGCCCAGATTTGATCCCTCATTGGAGAACTGAGATCCTGCATGCCATGCATCACAGTGGGAAAATAAAAGGACTTTCTTACCTTAAAACACAATTTAAGGTCATCTTAGTGACACAGTGACTCGTGTGTTCACCAACCTGATTTATGTGTGACTCTTTGATTTACCAAGATTAAAGATTTCTTTTTTTTATAGATAGTTGTTGGTTATTTTGGTTATTTTCTTTACCCTTCTCTTTCTTTCTTCACCCAATACAAAAACTTTATATATTTGACTTATAATAGCTGTGGACCTGAAATTTCCTCTACAAATAACCCATTAGCATTTCTATAATATACATGCAAGGTCGGTGGTGTTGTAAAACCTTGATGGTTATACATTAATGTTCAAAAAGACCTTTTATGGATGGACAAGTAAAAAACCAAGTCCACAGTTTAACCAAATCACCCAGCTGCAATCTCATCAGTTCACAAGTCATCACCAGGAAAGCATGGGTGATAAATCAATAAAAATCTTATCTTGATTCAGAAATTTTATATAAGTGAATAAATTATTAGGTATCATTTAGAACATAGAATTTAGACAAGATGCATATCAAAGAAGTTGAGTCCAGTTTAAAAATATTTATATAAGTGATTATTATAATGATAACTGATGTTCATGACAAACTTCTAAGTGATTTAGGTATATCATTTCATTTGATCTTCCTCAAAACTCTATATGGTAGAAACTATTATTCCTATTTTATGAATAAAATATTTTCATAAAGGCCTAAAAAATATAGAACATTGTGCAAGAACTGCGTCAGAATTTCTAAAGTAGATAAGTCACAATCCTTGAAGTCGTGTCCAACTCTTTATGACCCATGGAACTGCCAGATTCCAGTGTCCGTGAATTTTCCAGGCAAGAATACTGAAGTGGGTTGCCATTTCCTACTCTAGGAGATCTTCCCCACCCAGGGATCAAACCCACATCTCATGCCTCCTTCATTAGCAGTCAGATTCTTTACCACTGTGCCACCTGGTCTTCCCCCTTGAAGTTAAGGGTTTTCCAATTACTAGAGAACATAAGATAAGTACTGAAATAATGTTGCAAGTCAAATTGTGTTACATAGAAAGAGAGACATGAAGGCTTGGGGCTAAAGGGGAAGGGAGGTCAAAGAAAGAGCTGATTAGTTCTTATGTTTAGCACAAATACAGCAATATATGTTCCTTCAAGCCCAGAATGCATTAATGAAAAGTTGGAAGCTGTGTCCTTTCTCAACATTGTTTGTATGTGCTCTTACCCAGTTTGCTTTATCCCTCTAGCCATACCTACTGACCTGCATTGCCATCATCATCTAAGAATACAATTGCATCTCCATGCAGCTGTGGTTTGGTCACTGAAGTTAACTAGTGCCTTGTCTGACCAGTTTCATCCATGTGGCAGGCAGCCACTAATTCATCCCAGATTATTACAGATTTTGTAATAGAGCATCATTTTCTTTGTTCCAAAATCTGCAACATGATACATTCAAATTAGATTGTAAATAATGAACCGAAATGCATACTAGGTTGAACTTTGCCTGTGAATTTTGAGAAAGATAACTGTATAATGAATAGATATTCACTGAGTATTTATTGTGCACGTACATTCCATGTTAAGCACTATAGAACTCAGGTCACCTGAGACTGAGTATGTTACTAAATCATGTATCATCAAGCTCAATGCACCCTGCTCCTCACATAATACTCTAATAGCATTTGGAGTTAACTGCTTTGTTCCCTCTTCATCTGTGCTTATCTAAACACTATCTATTATTCCACACCATCTTAAATTCTCCCTCAATGAAATATTTGCAGATTTTGTAACCAGATATATAAACTTTCTCTTAACCACCGTGTTATATTTCACTCCCTTTAACTAGTTTATCATATTTAGTTATGTATTTATTAGGTGTCTTGAGGTAATAATTTTGTTTAATAACTAATAATAATCCCTGAAACTCTGAATATAGTGATTTGTGTCTAAGTGCTCAATACATATGTGAGAGATTCAGTTGAAGGAAATGTTAGATGAGTACTCTTCAGTCAAAGCCAATTCTTATTAAATTTTGTAGGCGAAGTGTGCCTGTGGTCGCTCATAATAATAATTAATTTATCTACTTAATAATCCTGTTGTGTATATATGGATGTATTTTTCTTTGTAAAATTTAAGAATTTTTTGTTAATGTAATCTTTCAAATAATTATTAATAATTATTTATAATATACTTGTATTGACTTTAACTGTAATTTTATTCAATAGTCACCATAGAGTGCATGAAAAATTTAAGGTCCAGATTTTATTTTAAAAAATTTTATTGAATATATTGGCTTACATTATTGTGTTAGTTTCAAGTATACAGCTAAGTGATGCAGATATAGATATATCTTTTCTTTCCTAATTCTTTTCCACTATAGGTTATTACAAGATATTGAATATAATTCCCTATGAGACCAAGGTTTTAATCTCAAATTTCACTTGCCTTTAGTTCCATCTGTAATAAAAACAAACAAAAGTAAAAAAACAACAAGCAAACCTCTGCAGTATATAAATGAATATTTAAGTATAATATTTTTCCCATTTTGGACTAGAAACAATTGTTAACCCTCCCTAGATAGTGTAAAATAATCTAAGTAGAGGCATGCCAGTATAATATTTGTTGTAAAGAGAAATATTTATAAATCTGAGAAGATACTAAATTAAATGAACATAAGATAATTTTATTAGGTTTACTTAAAAAATGCATGCATCGTTACCTAATTCCTCAGCTGTATTATAACATGCTTATAAATATATTTGTCTACTGTGCAGTGACATCATCTAACTTCCCATTTCCTTTTAGACTTTGAAGCTATCAAGCCGTGTTCTAGATAAAATAAGTATTGGACAACTTGTTAGTCTCCTTTCCAACAACCTGAACAAATTTGATGAAGTATGTACCTACTGATTTACTCTTTTATGCACCTTTGTTATAAATCATATGACCCCAAAGATTTTCTGGATCAGATAACTGAGTGGTTACGTGATAAGCATTCCTACCTTCCCTATATCTGAAAACCGAGAAGGCTAAGTTGTGTAGCACAGTGCCATTTTGGGATCTTGCAGACAACTCAAGGACACCTCAGCTGGCTTTTTATTTGGTGCAGTTTTTCAAAATTAAATCCTTATCAGATCTTGCTTCATTGTAATCATTTAAATCAGTTATTTACTTTGGCTGAGTATGATACTCTGAGAAATTCTTGTTTAGGGCTGTCTTCTCAATAAAATTCAAGGTCCTTGAGGACAGATAATGTGTTTTATACATAATGTATTTATCTTTGCATTTCTAGTGTTTAGTATGCTATTGAACTCTCAGCAGATGCTAAGTAATTTACTTTTGAATTGAGTGTGCATGTTGTTTTCTGAGTATTTGGTCAGATAATAGGGTTGTGCAATTGTATAGACTGAAATTCAGGAGAGTCTTGTCCTCTCATGTTCTGTGTCATGGCTCTTGCTTTATTCACAGAGGAGTAAGTTACTAAAAGTATTCTAGACATGGTACTTAAGATATCCAATCACCACACGTATCCACTGGAAAAAAATCACAGTGACTTGAAATTAGTTTGGGGGGAATTCCTAGTCTCTGTGTAGAATGTTTAAGCATATTGCTGTGTGCGCCGTATAATGAACACCTAGATTTTAGTGCATTCAGAGCCATGATTGTATGAGCTTACTGTGCTTGATTTCTCTCTCCTATTCTTGATTTTCTCTTTGTTTGGGGGTGGAGGATAAAATGTCCATAGTTTTCACTGTGATTTTATTTTTCAGGGACTTGCACTGGCACATTTCGTGTGGATCGCTCCTCTCCAAGTGACGCTGCTGATGGGGCTGCTCTGGGACTTGTTGCAGGCCTTCACCTTCTGTGGCCTTGCTTTCCTTGTAGTCCTCGCATTTCTTCAAGCCGGATTAGGGAAAATGATGATGAAGTACAGGTAGAAACTCTTTAAATAGTGTGAAACACAGATTGTATTCTTACTAGTTATGTGACCTGTGTCAAGCTGCTTCTGCCACAGTGTTTCTGGTTTTTTCATCTTTAAAATGAAATAATCATCTCCCTTCGGCTGTCAGAAGGATTAGGCAGAATGTATAACATACTAGCCCACTCAAGTAAAACCAGAACTTCTCTGTGTACTGAACCATGATCTTACTAGGTGTCGCAAAAAGGAATATTTTTATGTTATCAGCGGTCCCCAACCATTTTGGCACCAGAGACTGGTTTCGTGGAAGACAGTTTTTCCGTGTACTGGGGGAGGGGATGGTTTCAGGATGATTCAAGCACATTATATTTACTGTGCACTTTATTTCTGTTATTATTGTATCAGCTCCACCTCAGATCATCAGACATTAGATCCCAGAGGTTGGGGACCTTGATACAAAGAATACTTTCTGTATCAATGGTACATTTTTTTACTTGCCAGTCTATAGAATTTCTTTACAAGTATGTCACCATCCATTTTGCTTTTTTTGCACATCAGAGATTTAGATACAATGGATAAAACACTTATGTGAATGGGAAGGAATGCATACATTTTAGGTAAAGTTCATAGGCTTTTTCTATTCTAGTTCAAGAATCATCACACCACAGCCTTAGTGGCTTTTTATTACTGAATGATTCAGTGATTCCAATCACTGCTTATGAAAGAGGACTTCTAGAGTTTGCCAGCTAGAGTGTGATAGAAAGTGTTCAAATTTTGGAGTCAAATAGTTCTTAGTTTGAATCCCTCTTTGCACCATACTAGATATACGACCTGTGCCAAGCTGCTTCAACCTTTGTGTTTCTGTTTTTTTTTTTTATTTTTAAAATGAGACAATCACCTCCCCCAGAGAATTAGGCATAGTATATGACATGCATCTAATATATGTGTCTGCACATGGGAGGCATTTACTGATTGATAGTTACTATTTTTGTTACTGTGTATTTGATAATAAAATAAACATCTATCTGTTTAATAAAGGAAATGTGGCTTTTCTTAAAAGCTTGGGCAGTTCTTAGTGGGCAGTTTGACTTATTTTTACTAAGTATTTGATTTGTGGATGAAATAATTTACAGAGATCAGAGAGCTGGAAAGATCAATGAAAGACTGGTGATTACATCAGAAATTATTGAAAATATACAATCGGTTAAGGCATACTGCTGGGAAGAAGCAATGGAAAAAATCATTGAAAACCTAAGACAGTAAGTCATTCCAAAAATTTTAATATCAGTTGAATTAGTCAATTAAGGTTTAACATATTTAAAATGAGTATGTCACAGTGGACTTCAGCTTATATTTGAAATTTCTGACAACCAAATAGTTGTGTTAAGTTATGTCAATATTCATGTGTTAGTGGCCTAATGTCATTTTCATGAGACTGTCATTTTACATAGGGGAGCTATTTTTGCACTACAAGGATATCTTACGAAAGAACTGCCTGTTGGTGTTTACAGCTGCTTAATAGGCTAAACTAATGATCATGATGCTAGAGATTGAATAAAACCTTAAATAGAACTGCTAGAGTAAAAAAGATACAACTCTGAACCAAATAAATGATTCTCTAATATTACAACTTCCTTAATTTATATGTTATGGCTCATGAAAAGCAAACCAAAAAAAAAAAAAAAACCCAAAAAAAACCTTCTGTTTGTTTAAAATACGTTTGTTCTTCCTTTACTTAAGAGCAATGCCAGGGTAATATCTATAAATTGTGTTCTATAAACCCTCCACTTGAAAAGTCAATTCAAGTAATGAAAGCTGCCGCCTGAAGTAGAATCAGTACTTGGCACCCATCTTGAACTCTGGTCTTGTTTTGCCTCAGATAACCTTTCTTTCACTGGTTAGTAAAGATTATAGCCAGCAAAAAAGTGTAGCACAGACTGGGATACTGTTACTGAGAAAACTTTGGACATGATATAAACCAAGGTATTTCTGTAGCTCTAAGACCATTTTTCTTTAGTCAAGTTCCATGTTCTACAAATTGCAATTTAAAAAAGGGTTCTAGGAGACTCAGTGGGCATAGATCTTCTCTTAAAGGGAAAATAATTTCAGAATGAATTAGCTCATGAGAGTTGCATAGGAAGAAAAGATACTAAAGAGAAGAATTCCACTTTAGAGGATATAAGTATGGTTATCAGGGATTCAGGCTGAGTCCAGTAGACAGTGGTAACTGAGCTGCAGGTGTGTGATTGGAACAACAAAAGAGATGCTGAAATGGTAAGTCCTTTGCCATGTAAATAGAAAGAGTAAAAGACTATTTATTGCCCAAACATGATTGGTCACCTGTTTTTATTATGCCTTTCAAGACAAATCCAGGAAAGGAATCATATTTTCTTTCCAGAAACATCCGTAAAGATCCTGCTTAGTTGTTTGAAATTTTTCTCTTCAACAAGTGAGTTAGCTCTCAAGGTTCACTGCTGAACTGGTCAAAAGGCTGTGCAGTGCTCCCTGAAAATCTACTTCTTTACTTCCCTCTGGTAATAAAGTCACTTTCAATTTTTTTTTAATCATAATAAGATAAAATGTTTTTATGGCTCAAAGTGTTATTGTTATTATTATGGGGAGTACTGCTTTCTGGGTGATTCTTATATCAATACATGATCTTGAGCCCATTATTCTTTCCTTGTAGTATCATTGCTTCATTTTCCTCAACTGTTTATAATATACAATAACAGTTTTGACAAATTTATTAACATTTTGGTAATCAACATTTTCTAGCATTAAAAAAATATAAGCCTAGCCAACAGCATTCTTCTTTCAGTTGAAGATTAGAGAGACACGTAAGTTCTAAGTGTAGGTTCCTGTGTTGTCGTTTATTGTGGTGACAGCTCCACAAGGGAGATGTTACATTTCTCTTCTGTAGATGTGGATTCTGTAGGAACAGAGGGAAGAGCGACTTGATTAAGATGGCATAGCTGTAACCAGCAGAGCTGAGAGTCACACCCCAGTTAGATTCCAAAATCATAATCTGCCTTTAATGCCAAATAGTTAAAATAGGTAAGCTAAACCATGTTAGACTGGGAATCACAATGTAGATTGGGAGTACTGAACTTCATTTTCTTCATCAGAGTGCTGAGGATTACATTTTTTTTCAGACTTGAAAAAGAGAATTCCTCTGAATTATACCACTTGAGAATCAGAACTTTTCTGAGTTGTACAGCATGTGGAACTAGCACCCAAATGCCAGACACCGCTATTGCTCCCTCCCACCAGCATGCTCTCCTTGTCTGTCTCATCTCTGCTCTTTCCATCACAAGAGCTGAACATAAGGATCACAAATGACTCCAGTTTTGATGATCCTGTGGGATGAAGGTCGGAGGAAGCATTGTCCTCTGTTCTTGCCAGCTCTGCACTCCCTGTTTCCTGCCTGTTGATGCATTTAAACCTCTTCTGTTTGTGTTGAAAAAATAGCCCACATTTGCATTTCGGACTAAAAAAAAAGTATGATTGCAAATAATTATCCTGAAAGGAGAGAGGGTGGATGCAATATCTATTCTCTTGTAATTTTCCAAGAATTACCAGCAACAATCTTTTTTAAAAAGCAGATTCTGGAGGCCTAATGCAGACTCAGTATCTCTGAATGGTGATCCTGATACTCTGTATTTTAAAAAGTTTCTCAGGTGATTTTTACCTGTGCTAAGCCTTGAGAACCACTCCTCTTTGGCTCATGTTATTTTTAAGGGTCTCCAAAGCCAATCCAGAACTTCTAAAATGTTGACAGTCCATTAGGGAATCCCAGAATTGTCTTTTCCTTCTATAAATCTTTCAACATTATTCTCATATCTGTACTTAAATACTTAAAACACCAATCAACCAATAAAAAATTACTAGTCTTAATTAATCTACAAATTAATAATAATGTAAATGAAGATATAAAAATAATGTAATAATTATGGTAATAATCATTGAGATTATTTAAAAATAATATTTATAGGTATTATATGCTGGTATATTCATTATCATCTACCCCCCTTTCAGATAAGATAACTGAGGCCCAGAGAGGTTAAATAACTTGCTCAAGGTCACACAGCTCATGTAGGGTAGAACCAGGATTAGAACACAGAGAGAAAGCTTTTGAGAGTCTATGTTCAGATTTTTTATTCCAAGATGCCTGATATTTTGGAAAGTATATAAGCACCCCAAATCTTACTATTTGTTGTTTTTTTTTTTTTTTTAGAACAGAACTGAAACTTACCCGGAAGGCAGCCTATGTGAGATACCTCAATAGCTCAGCCTTCTTCTTCTCAGGGTTCTTTGTGGTATTTTTATCTGTGCTTCCTTATGCACTGCTCAAAGGAATCATCCTTCGAAAAATATTCACAACCATCTCATTCTGCATCGTTTTGCGCATGGCAGTTACTCGGCAGTTCCCCTGGGCTGTACAAACTTGGTATGATTCTCTTGGAGCAATAAACAAAATACAGGTAGTGTACCAAAATGGGTCATCTGACTCAATGAATTTAGAACAGTTTAGAACTTTTGTCATGAGCAAACTCTCTAGAGTTTGCATCTCTAGAGATGCATTCTTGGCCTTGGACCTGTTTGATGCACAGTATTTCCTCTCTTGATGTCTGTATGACACTTGTAAAGTGTCTTGTATGACACTAGGCCCTTGTAAAGCCTAGTGAAATAAAATGAAAGGCTGTGAGATTTTAGTCAGAGAAATTGAAGAAAATATTGTTTCTGTATTCTGGAGATTATTCAAGTAATCAATCAATAGAATGGTTCTAATGAACTTGGCAAATGTGCAAAATCATGGTGGCAGATTCATCAAAAAGTTACAAATTTTCTAGCTGATGCTAGGAATGTTTACCTTAAACTTTTCCAAGCATTTTTCTGAACGGTATGATGGATGAGAATGACATTGTATGCTACATTAATTACCTTAAAATCTCAGTATGCTGACGTATCTGTTAATTTTGAAGAGAAGTTCTAAAGTCCATAAGGTAATAAGGCTCAATTTATGCTAAGCTAACAGAATCATCACCAGGAACTTGGATGTGGTTATAATTTTTAGAATTAATATACAATTCAAAATGTTTTATTATACTGTTTTGATATATATTTAATCCAGAAAATAAATCACTGTGCCATAATTTAAAAAAATGAGGGTGAAGGGTCAGCCACTTTAAGGTAGTTCTGCCATTATTTAACCTAGGCTAGAGTTTGACTTCCCTGGTACCTCAGTCGGTAAAGAGTTTGTCTGCAGTGCAAGAGACCCGGGCTTGATCGCTAGGTCAGGAAGATTCCCCTGGTGAAGGAAATGGCAAACCATTCCAGCATTCTTGCCTGGAAAATCCCATGGACAGAGGAGCCTGGTGGGCTGCAGTCCATGGGGTGGCAAGAGTGGTCCAAGACCTAGCAACTAAACCACTATCAGAGTTTGCCAGTGGTGGACCATGGACCTAATAAAAGGAGGATGCTATCAAGACGAAAATACTAGTTTTCTCTCTCTTAATGTTGAGTTGAGGCAATTAGTGGGTAGTTCAGGTGTGCTCTATAAATTCATTACTAAGGTTAACATGTAGTCTAGTATAAGGATGAGTCAGTGGTATGTTAAAATTTAATGTATAAATAAGTTCTTTAAAATGTCACATATTTAAAGAATGCATTTCTAATATAATGAATCCTAGTACTTTATAATTAACTTTAGAACACATAAAATTATTTTTTAGGAAAAAATTTCTAGTATAATTCATAAAATACAAAATGCAGCACTTATTAGAGTTTAAATAGATGTAATAATGTATTAACACTATCCTAGTTCTATAATATGCCTTTGCTCTCTTTTATAAACAGGATTTCTTACAAAAGCAAGAATATAAGACATTGGAATATAACTTAACAACTATAGATGTAGTGATGGAGAATGTGACAGCCTACTGGGAGGAGGTCAGAATCTTTTGTTTGTTTGCTCTAAATAGTTAAGCGTTTCTTATTTGTGATTCTGGTTTTCATCTTAATGGGCAATAAAGTTAGAATGATAGAATTCTTAGAACTGAAAGAGGAATCACTCCACTTATTTTGTAGTTTAAGAGGTAGAGGCCCAAGAATATTAAATATGACAGATGGGCCTCTTCATGTTTTTCTAAGCCATGTAATTTGTTTCACATAATAAATTAGGAAGTAATGCCGTGCTCATAGGTTTTGGAGCCAAACTGAGCTGGAATTGAGTACTGGTTCTACCATTTACTATCTAGTACAAGTTACTGAATTTTGTAGAACCTCTGGTTCTCCATCTGTAAAGTGGGAATATTAAGATATACCTTACAAGGTTGTTGTGAAGATTGACTGAGATAACTTATGGAAAATATTCAGCATAGTACCACACACATAATAGTTCCTCAGTAAATGCTACCCTCTCTGATCTCAAGTTCCAGTCCAACGTGCTTTACAAATACCAGTAAACATAAAGATGCATATGGGATAGACCTATGTATTGTTTTATACTATTTTCACTTATTTTAATTCACTATTAAAAATTCTCATTTCTCATTGTCAGAAAAAAATGTTATTAATGATTTTTCAGCTTCTAAAGGACTAATATTTGATTATTGAGAATACCAGTGGAGTTCCTCTTTCCTTATCACTTTTTCTGTTGAGTAAACATAGGCATTATGAAACCAATGTCCTATTTCTACATATTTCACAATATCTTATACTGGTTTTATTTATATAAGTAAGTTGACTCTAAGGGCGTCACTGTAATTCTTTTTTTAAGATAGAGGTAAGAGAATAATTCTTTATCTGCCTAGAAAAATTATGGAGAAGTGTGTGGATTAGATTGATTTTACTTCTTTGATTTTAGGAATTTCAAATGCCCTTCTAGACATAAAGAAAAGCAAGGAGTTTGGCGATACAGACAATTATTTTTCTAATCTCCATCTCATACTCCTTTCATCTAATAAAATAGATAGCATGCTTCAGCCCTTACTATGTGCCAGGTACTAGATAAGCACTTTACATGTTTTGTCTTATTTCTTACAACATTCCTATGATGTAATCTTAATATTTCCATTTTGCTGATAAGGGAATGGAGGCTTAGTAAGGTTATAGGACCTGGCTCAGCTCACGTACCAGGCAAGGGATGAAGCTCGGTTTTGGACCAAATGTCACAGTCTACAACCCTTTCACTGAACCATTGCCTTCCATCTGGCTATATCCTCATCCTCCAGACTCTCACCATCACCTAGCAAATTCTGGACACTCCTTGATGATATTTACCCAGGACAGTGGTGCTGGTTAAACTTCTGTCATCGTGTCTAAGACTTCAGCACCCACATGAGAAATCCTTCCAATACTGTCCTCAGAACTTCTATTTACAGTTACTTCTTCAGAAGCTTCCTCTCATGCTCATATGCTGAGCGTGGTGAGTGCTGAGACTTACTCCACTTTGGAAATGTCCTGCTCTGGGATCTCTTTCTCAGTTTAGAATTTCCTAATCCTCGCTCTCTCAGTCTGTTAATCCCATCTTTACTGCCTTCCAATTTCATGAAAATTTCTAGTCTCCTTAGTTATCTCTCTTGGACTCCTCCTGGTTTAACCTCCACCAGTCACTTCAGTTGTTGCTACAGCAGCACCCTCAATTCCCTTTTCTTTTCACCGAATTGTTTGCTATAAGACGTTCACTTGAGAGCTTTGATGAAGGGAGTGCTATCTGGGAAAATGAAATACTCTAGTCAGTTATAAGTTTTATACAGTTACTGTTTCAACTTCAAATGGGCCTATAAACTTTCTTGGGAAGTGTTTTCATTTGTCTTTACTTAATTTTCTTTACCATTTCCCTAAAAGCTATTCCAGATTTTTACCAGTTTCCTGAAACTCCCAATCTCTCCCAGGATCTGCTCACCCCCAGCAGATGGCCTTGACTTCTGTAACATAGAGAGGAAATATATAGATGCTATAAAATATACAACGGCATATATGAATGCTTACAGCTTCTTTCTTCACCCTTGAGATTATTATTTTCTTCTTTCTTTTCTAAGAGAAAGATGTTTGCTTCCCCCTGCCCTTAACTGTTATTATCTTGCTTCATCTTCTCAGGACATGGGACCAGCAATTATTCTCTATCTATAAGCTCAATTTCTTTTTTTTTTTCAACTGACTTCTTTTAATATCTAAATATTTTCAAGTTAAAGAAATTTCTCCTCTGACTTTTGGCCCCCCGGAGCCCCATCATCCAAGCCTTATCATTCTTCTTCCCTTTGCCTTTAAAACTGTTCTTACTTCCTTATCTTTTGACTTTTGTCTTCTGCAATCTGGATTCTGTCTTTACCAACACATTAAAACTGTTCTTTTGAAATATTTATTTAACTTAGCTTTACTGAACCACTCTTTCCATGTAATCTTATATTCCAACCAAGACTTCCCAGTCTTGGCTGCCTGCCTCTTAAGTGGCGATCGACCATAGGGTCCCCACCTCGGCTTCCTTCTGGTATCTCATGTTTTCTCTGGGTGACTCAGCCCAGGCTCAACTGACGTCTATGTGCTTATGACTCTCAAAGGCAAATCTTCAGCCCCAGTTTCTTTCCTGAACTTCATACATTATTTCCAAATTCCCTGCAAGGTCCTCAAACACTTCACATTTATCACTTCCCAAGCTTCACAAACCCGCTTCTTCCAGTGTCTTCTCTGCCTCATTTGATGATTTCGCCATTCACCCAGTGACTCAAGAGGCATGTCCCTGATGAATTATATATGACTCTTCCCTCACTTCACACCTGTGAGTAGGAACAATTTCTATTTATATATCAGGAAGCTGAGCTTTAGGGAATTTAAGTAACTAGAATAAGGTTATACAACTGGTTAGAACATAAAAGTCAGCCTAGGCTTCTTTGACTCTAAATGTTTTTTCTACTCACCATCCTGTTTCTAATGAAAAAAATGGACTACTGCTTTATTGTATACAAAATACCTTCATCTATATTACCTCACTTAAGATCCTCAACAGTCCAGGAACCTAAAGCTCAGAATGTCATAATTTATCAATTATTATGCAGCTAGTTGAGAACATGAGACAGAGACTGAAATAAAGACAAAGGATACCATAATCATTTCTCTCACAACTACAAGGAGCTTGTAAACACAGAAAGTGTTCAGCCATAGTAGGGATCAAATAATTAAGAATAAGATCAATACTGAGATTCCATTTTCACTTACAGAACACACACACACACACACACACACACACACACACACACACACACACAAAACAGAACAAAACAAAACAAATCCCAAATTGGAAATCAACATTGTTGATGATGGTTCCTGAAATCTAGCACTCTCATACCTTGATGGAAGAGAATTTGAAACTACTTTTCCAAAGTCTTGGAATGTTTGCTACACCTTTGCTCTGGAAATTTCCCTTGTGGAAATTTATACTAAAAAAACCAGATTTCCAAGATTTATAGCCAAGTACACACATCACAGAATTACTAAGTTAAAAAGAAAATCATATAATGTAAAAAATAAGAACTGTTAATATTTATAGTTTATCCATACTCTTTGATACTATCCTGCAACTTAAAATTATATTAAAAAGAATGTTTAATGGTATGTGAAAATATTTATGATTTATATTGTAAGTCAGAAAAAGAAGATCACAAAGCTCATGTATAATTTTTTCCTTAATGCTGTAAAATTATATATGATTTTCCATATATGTGAAGGAGTAGAGGGTTCTCCCTGAAATGTTAAACATGATTTCTTCTCAGTGTTAAGACTACAGCTGATTCCTCTTTTCTTCTTGCTGATTTTATCTGTTTCCCAAATTTTCTGAAGTAAGTTTTTTACTTCTGTAATCAGGAGTTAAAATTAAGGTAAATTAAAGTAAAAGCAACCTTCCATTGGTCCAAGTGTTTATTGGATAAAAGTCCTATTTCTAAGGATGGAACATGAGCCCCTTAACAGTCTGCACCGCCCACATTATCAAGGATATCCTTTGTCATCTTACTATATACATTCACCTAGCCACTCACCACTCCTGAGGTGTACGTTGTCCTTTTAAGCCTAAATCATCATGCACACAGGCCCTTCTTCCTGGAATGCCTATACTATTTCTTGATCTTGTGAAATACCACCTATATCCTTCATAGCCTAATACTGTGTTAATTACTTGGTCAAGCTCCAGACTGAGTAACTTGCTTTATGTAATGTGCTCCTATAGGACTTGGTGTGAATTTTCAGTTGTAGCACTAAACACATTGCAATATTAATATCTACCCATTTGTTATTCTCCTAAGTGAGACTTTTGAAGTGGTCTTTAATATAGAAGTGATGCTCAATAAATGTCTGTTAGCTAAATAAGCTAATAATAGAATAAAAAATGCCTTTGTCTCATTCGAAGAATTTTCATTGCCTACTTCTTAAAACTTTGCTTTTAGTTATCTGATGACTGAAAGAGATGTTAGCCATCCATCTCGTAAGAATTCAAGCAGTACTCTTAAACCTTAATTGCTTATATATGCCCTAAAGTTTTGATAGTACTGAAAATCTGTATACCTCTGATACATTTTAAGTTGACTTGTGAATTTCCAACATAGGTTTAAGTGGTGGTAAAGGATGTAATTCTTGTCTGTAGTGTCTTCATATGTTAAATGGATTTTTGTCAAAACTTGGGAGCTGCCATTTCAGTACTTTCAATTTCATGGAAAATAAATGAATTTGTAGAGTCAGGTCTCATTGCTAAATCAATCAGATAAATATTACTTGCTTTATATCAGGAAAATGTAACTTTAAAATGCAGATAATAATTTGTATTAATTTATTAAATTACTAAAATTAGATAAATAATAAGTTAATTAAAATAGCTTGTCCTTCAATTCATCTCTGAAGCATGATTCTGAGATGACAGGACACATAGATGCCATCACTTTGAAACCTGGTGAAACACGATGTTAGCTCCTTCAGTATTTCTGGCTTTGCTTTTATGAGATCCACTCTCAGGAGAAAATCATTCTCTTATGTTCCCCATGTTCGTATCATGGAGCTTTTTACACTCCGGAAAGGGCAGTCTAGCTAAACTTAGGACTGGTGAGAAGGCTGCCTCTTCTCTGAGGGGAGAAGCAGAAAGTAGGAAAGAGAAATGACAAAGAGCAAGCAAATTCTCAGGCGATTAACTTGCGGAAGTACTTTGGGATGATGAGGTTGTGGAAATGCATTCTCTTAAAACTGTGAACTACTACCTTCCTCCTGATCACCTGCAGTGCTGTTAACTGTGATTTAAAGACTGCTCAGATAGTAAAGAATCTGCCTGCAGTGCAGACCTGGGTTTCATCCTTGGGTTGGGAAGATCCCCTGGAGAAGGGAATGACTACCCACTGCAGTATTCTTGCCTGGAGAATCCCGTGGACAGAGGAGCCTGGTGGGCTATGGTCCATGGTGTCGAAAACGAGTTGGGCACGACTGAGCGACTAAGCACATGCGTGCACTCTTAACACATTCCATAGGGCAGTACAGAAGCAGGGAGCTTTCAAAAAAGAATTCCCTCTCCCAGCACTTTTGCAAAAATGGGATTCATTCAAATCAAATGGTAGTATCATCACATTTACACTTAGTAATAACTACTAAAATACTTTGAGCTTCTCAGATTAAGGTGCCAGCATGATAGAGTTAGATTTGGGTTGTAATTCCACTCAGGCCTACTACTTAAATGACTTCAGTTACTTAACCTCTCTGAGTCACAGTCTACAATGTTGAATAAAAGAGTTTATAAAATCTATCTCATATATTGTTACTCTGCTGAAGATTGAATAATTATGTGTATGTGTTCAGCCTATAGGAGAGGAGGTAGCTATTAAAGATAGCTAGCTAGCTTTAATTAAATTTGATGGTGAGCAACAGTCAGCAATTGAAATTATTATTATAATTTTGAAATATTTTTGATCATGTGCTCTAGAAATCATGTGCTATAACTTGTGTGCTATAAATTATGGACCATGTGCCATGTGCTCTTCAAACTAATAATACATAATGTAAATAGCTATTAAAAATATTGGGCTTTCCTGGTGGCTCAGCTGGTAAAGAACCTGCCCGCCAATGCAGAAGATGCAAGGGATGCAGGTTTGATTTATGGGCAGGAAGATCCCCTGGAGAAGGACATGGCAGCCTGCTGCAGTATTCTTGCCTGGAAAATTATATGTACAGAGGAACCTGACAGGCTACTATCCATGGGGTTGTAAAGAATCGGACACAACTGCACCCCCACACATACATTGAAAATATCTGAGAAACATACCTTCTTATTTACTGTGTTTTTTATTTTTTACAGGGATTTAGTAAATTATTTGAGAAAGCAAAAGAAAATAATAACAATAGGAAAATTTCCAATGGTGATAACAGCCTCTTCTTCAGTAACTTACTTCTCGGTGCTCCTGTGCTGAAAGATATCAGTTTCAAGATAGAAAGAGGACAGTTGATGGCAGTTTCTGGATCTACTGGAGCAGGCAAGGTAGTCTCTTTTATACCTCACATGAAGATGTTAACCTGACATGCTTTACTCCTTTCTTTTTGTAGTTTGTAAAAGGAGAATACTTGGATACTGTGTATAATTATGCCACTGATAGCGTCCTCTAGCCTTTCATTTCTTCCTGTTATCTTCAGTAACTTTTTCTGATATATATTTATATTTTGGGCATCACTCAGTACAGTGTCATGCACACACATGGTGAGCATTTAATAACTTTGTTGGTCAAGTAAAGCTTCCATTTTTGCCAATCTGTGGCAAAGACATTTTCTCAGAGCTGGTCCAGGAAAGTCATGGCTTACATTTCACTTCAGTAACCACATGGGCAAAAGATCCCCATTTTGTTTACCCAAGAATTTTTTTGGAGAATGGACTCAGGGTTGCTTATGATTTATTATGAGGGAAAATTATTGAGTGGGATAGTTTTTTGATGGCAATACATAGGAATGTTTATTTATTCTGTGCCAATCAGCCTTCTACCCTACCTCATTTAATTATAAACCGTGGATATTTGGAGATACATTTGACAAAAATTAAGAGGTTAGAAAACTAAAGGATCAAATTACATTGTCAGGAGAAGACTTTATATTAGTCTTCAATGATTTGAGCTATTGTTCAGATAATGAGAAACACTTGTTTTCTTTATCTGGGAAATACATTCAAAGGCATGAAGGAACAGAATCAGAGATAAGAAAGGGTCTCTTGGTTTCGAAATGAACTACTTAAGGATAATAGATATTTGCTTTGGAAGTCTATTAAAAGGAGGTTCTTATTCTCACTTGACTATAATTTTACCTACAATACTTTCTAGAAAAAAAAGTTTAGTGTCCTCTTAAAACTCTTCAGACTACTTTGATGAAAGAAAAGGAAGAAGGAAGGAAGGAGCAGTGCCGCTGTAAGATAAAAATGTAAATAAAAACAGAAATTAAGAAATACCCCTGAAAAATAGTTATTTATTAATATCCAGTTAAGGAAGAACCACATTTTAAAGAATTTAGTCTGAGACTTGGGAAACAAAATGCCATAGAAAATTTCTAGTCATTGAATTTGGTGTTCATAATTGTAGCAATATACAATTTGCTTATTTCTCTCTCCGTATGTTTTCCCAAGTGTAAAATAGGCCTTTCAATAAAGCAGCTATAGTTGTGCGTTTTCTTCTTTGAAAAATCTATTTCTTCTTAAAGTGCTACTTTTCCTTCTATTTTTTCTATAACTAGAAATTTTCACTATTAAAAGAAAATGATACCATAGCCTCCTAATGTTTGCTAATAAACAAATCACAGATGACTTGCCTGAGAATGATTGCTTATGAGAAGATAGTAATTGTGTTTCACAGAATTTTTAAAAATTAATTTTATGTGTTTAAAATTACTTCTTTGAAAAGTGTAAACAAATAGCTTTGGAATTACAAATTATAGGGCTTAACCAGCAATTAAATTTCAGGTAACTCTATTAAGAATTGATGAGCAGATAATTGCTGGCTGGAGTTACAGCTACATCTTCTGAGAAGTAGATATGAAGACAGAGTCAGATGGAGTCAGTTGTTCCTTAGGATTAATTAAACCCCTCTGAGAAATAGAGTTTGGCAACTAAGTCTAGGAGGATGTCCTTTCATTGCAGTAGGAATAAAGCATTTTATACTCTTATTAGATAAAAGATCTAGCTAAAATATAAGATAGAATAATTGCAAATACTCACATTTCAAGATAAATCCTGAACCACTGATTTTGTTAATTTGTATATTAAAAGCCTTAAAAATAACCATTTAACAATTCTATTTGTATGACTTACCCTACTATATTTGCAGAGATTTTTATATAAAGATATTCATCACGTTGTTTCAATAGCCGCAAATTGGGGGAACTCCCAAATATCTAATAATAGGGGATTGATTAGGTAAATTTTGGTGTAGTTATATAATGGCATGTTATTCAATCAATATACATACGTATGTGTATGCATACTCAGTTGTGTCCGACTCTTTTGTGACCCCCACAGACTGTAGCCCACCAGGCTTCTCTGTCCATGGAATTTTTCAGCAAGAAAACTGGAACAGGTTGCCATTTCCTACTCCAGGGGATCTTCCTGGCCCAGGGATCAAACCCTCATCTCTGTGGTATTAGCTGGTGGATTCTTTACCACTGCACCACTTGGGAAACCCCTGTATTCAGTCAGTATAGGGATGTAAAAAATGACTCTGAGAGATATGTATATTATGCTATTAAGAAGGACAACAGATTATAAAATAATATGTACATTATGATCTGCATTTTACAAAAGCATATATATGTGTATATGTGTCTCTGAAAGAACATTATGGGTCTCGTTGCTGTCTCTGAGATTTTGGTTATATTTTATATCTCTGGATTTTCCAAAGTTTCAACAATATATATTATTTTCTGAATAAAACAATAAGATCAGATATAAGAATTAGATAAGGAAATGTATAGAAAGCCCTTGATGCAGTACTTGAAACAAAGTACTGCTTAATAAATGGTAGTTGTTTATATTGCTGTCATTAAAACTTTGTAGAAAAGCAAGAAAATGCAGATAAAACAAAATATGAGGGGAAAATACATATTTTTACTAATTTTACCTCTTAGGGATAATGAGGTAAGTATTTTAAAATATTTTTCTTCTGGAAGTTTTTACATATCTATGTATTTATAAAAACCAAAATGGGATTATTCTCTAATATTATATTGTAATTTATTGCTGTTATTTTTGTATAAATGATATTGTGATGGCATTCTCTATTATCTGTAAATTGATTAATCTGTAATCTTTTGCATTTTATAATTTTCTGATGAGTAGTTTCTCAGACTGGGTTTGCAGAGTTTACAGATTATAAAATCTACATTGTAATTTTATTGGAATGTTTAATTTTTGAATGAAACACATGTCTTAGTCTTTAAAAAAAAAAAACAAGGTCAAGTTTAATTTTATCACTTTCCCCTGTTACTAACAACTAGTCTGTAAGGGAACTGTGTCTTCTTTGTTTTTATATTCCAAGGACTATCATAGTATACTTAGTATGAAATAGATATTTGATACAAATTTCTTTAATTGACTATTTGGGGAAATGGATTTTGGGGTGTTTCTAATCTACATTAATTATCTTTCATTTATGAAAGCTCCTTGAATTATTTTAATGAAACAATATTGGTGTAGGAGTCTATACCCCCGGGTATCTCCAACTGAAAGCTGGCTTACAGCATCTCCCCCGGGGTGTGGGGATTTTTAGTTCTTCTGTTGTCTCTACCACGGAAGCAGTTCTGTGGCCTTGCTGTCAACCCAGACACACCACAGTCTCTGTATTCTGCCCTCACTCTGGAACTCTTAGCTTGATCTTCTAATAACTGAGCATCAGATGTGTGGAATGGCTGTTGGCTTCTATTTTGGCCTACATTTTAAAATAAGATACAAAGTCTGCAATGTTTTATCAGTATTTGGCATTTTATATATATTCAGTTTAACTTTGTATCTCTCAAAATACCAAAATATTGATAAATATTATATATTTATATGTTTATATAGATAAATATTGTTAAATGTATATTTAACTTTTGTAGTTAATATAGAGCCAAACTTATATTTAAGCTGTATATTGTGTATACATATACATATGTTGTGTATACATATATGTGTGTATATATATATACATATAATATGTGTGTATATATGTAATCAGATCCATTCCATTGTTGGGGTTAAAAAATCTGTTCTATATGAAAATAATACTTATAGTTTCAATTATACAGAAGAATTATATGTAGGAATAAGGAGTTTGATGATGGACAGGGAAGCCTGGTGTGCTGCAGTCCATGGGGTCTCAAAGAGTTGGACACAACTGAGCAACTGAACTGAAGGAATTTTGGATTTTGGATATTTTCCATATATAATAAGAATTTTAAAATTTACTGAAATAGGTATCACAAAAGTGCCTATCTCTTGATAATTCTTTCTTCCTAATATATTTCATGTGGTATTATTATTTGTTAAAATTTAAAATGCATAAAAATTCAAAAAATTTTCCCACTACTCTTTCTCCTCTGCTTATTTTCCACTTTTCACCATTCTTTCTCCCAACTCAGACAGGTACTCTTGTTAGTTTTTTGAATGTATATACTTTTATACATAGTATTTCATTGTTTAGTTAGATGTTTATAATGTAATGAATCACCTATTGATTGGCAGTTGGGTTATTGCCAGTATTTTGCTAATATGAAGAATGACGCTATGAATAATATGTACTAGTATTTCTGTATATCTGCCAAACTTTCTTCCTTGAAGGCTGCATCAATTTGTGCATGTGTGTTACAGTCCGTGTAGATTGTAGGTTTATTTTCCCACAGCATCCCCAGCATATGTTATCTAACATTTGAAATTTTTCCAGTCTTGTTGGACAAAGTCATATGTCAGTGTTTTTTTAATTTGCATTTCTCTTATTAGGAATAAAGTACAAGCTTTATCATATGTTTAAAGGTCACCTCTATTTTAATTTTTGGTGAAATATCTGTATACTTTGTACTGTTTTCTAATGAGTTATTGGTATTTTTCTTTTTGACTTTAATATCACTCACGAGGGAAATTATTCCTTTGTGTCATATAACTTGCAAACATTTACTTCAGTCTGATGTTTTTTCCTTTTGTTTTCTGTGCCCGTCTTCTTTTCTTCTTTTTAATGTGATTTATTTTTTTATTTTATGACTTCTGGATTTTGATTCATATAGAAAAACTTTCTTACTCTGTGGTAGTTGTTGTTCTTTTCTTTTAGACATCCTTCAGTGTTTTCTTCAAGTATTCTTACAGTCTTATTTTTGCACTTATTCTTTGACCTATTTGAAATTCATCATGTGTTGGGCGTGGCATATGGCTACAGTTTTTGTCTGCCCTCCACATGGCTGTTCAGTTGTCCCACAACATATACTGAATAGTCTATTTTTCTCCACTCATTTTAGATGCCGTCTTTATCAAATACTAATTCTTTTATGCATTTAGATCTACTTTTGTAGCTTTAATTCTGTTCCATTGATTTGTCTGTTTATGTATCAGTAATTTACTTTTTAAAGTTATTGAGCCCCTATTTAATATAATGTATAACACAGTGTATCAGGTTGCAGAGTCAGACATGACCAAATAACAAACAATGTCATTAAATTATTGAGTAAAATGTTTATATATATAATGTCATAGGATGACAAATGTTTTGAAGATAGAAAGAAAGATTGATGATAAGGGTTCAATTTTAAGCAATGGAGGCCTCACTGAAAGGTAACATTTGAGAAAAGATTTGAAGGAGGTGAGGGGTTAGGTCATACGGCCATCTGGGGAAGAGTCTTCCAGGTAGGGGGTGGAGCAAACCCTTGAAATGGGACTGTCTGTCTGGGTCAGAGAGCAGCCGGGAGGTCAGCGGGGTCGGCCCAGAGTGAGCCATGGAGAATAGAACCATCAGAGGAGTAAGGGGGCGAGACCATCACACAGGGGCCCTGAGAGCCTCATAAAGGGCCTTGTAACGAGTTAGGGTTTTTTTCTGAGGACCTTAGAAGCTATTGGAGGGTTTTAAGCAGAAAAGTAACATGATCTGACTTACATTTTGACAGGGCCACTTTGAGAATAGACTGTAGGAAGACAAGGGTGGAGCAAGGAGTTAGAAAGCTATTCTATTTATTCTGGCGAGAGATGATGTTAGCTTAATCTAGATAGTAATGGAAGTAGCAGTCAGATTCTGGACATGTTTTCAAAAAAGGTACAACAGAATTAGACTGAACAAGGCATGTGAGAAAACAAATGAGCACTCAATAAATGTCAGTTATTACTAATTTTTCCCTAACCTCTTCCAGCCCCATCTCAACAGTCTGAACTCAGCGCCCATCTCTGTGAGCCTCTAGTGTAGCACTTATCACATTCTATTGTAACTGTCTCTTGTTCCCTTTGGTATCTTTTGTGCATAGCAGCATACCCAAAATAGGAAGTGCTTCATAAATTTTGAATTGAATGAATTAATACAGAATCTTTAAAAATTAGGATACCTATGCTTAGGATGACAGTTGGTGGTACCTGCATCCTGAGAATGATTTGATCAAATGATTTGACTTAATAACACTGGTTTTATTTCCAGACTTCACTTCTCATGATGATTATGGGAGAATTGGAACCTTCAGAGGGTAAAATTAAGCACAGTGGAAGAATTTCATTCTGCTCTCAGTATTCCTGGATCATGCCTGGAACCATTAAAGATAACATCATCTTTGGTGTTTCCTATGATGAATATAGATATAGGAGTGTCATCAAAGCATGCCAACTAGAGGAGGTAAGTAATTATGTGAAAAACTTCTGGTTATGCATATGAAACCTTTAAACTACCTAAATTATATATTTAATGTTTTAATCAGTTTACATATATTAATCACATTTCTGCTATGAGTAAACTACTGTGAGTAAAGTAATTGATAAAATATATGACCCCTGCTATAAGAAGCCTGCAGAAATATAAATATACAATTAATTTTTTAATGAATTTAATATACAATTCATTTTTTAAATGGTGGGCTGGTTTGGTTACAATAAAAACTCTCTGAGATGGAAAGAATTTTGTTCACTTATTAGTGAGACAAATGTTCTCAATACAAATGTTCTGCATTTGTATAGGATGCAGTTTTTTAAAGGTACTTCAGAATTACATAAGAGAATTTAAATTATTTTAATAACACCATAGCCTAAAGAAACAATCATGGACCTGTCGGTAGGGAATCTGAGATAAAGTTGTGATTATATCTCTTCCTTTGACCTTGGACATGTAACCATATAACCTTTAGTGTCTGTAATCCTCTGAAACAGTGGCAAAATTATGATGAATCACTTCATAACAATACTGAGGACTGAGTTCATCATCTAGAAATACAGAAAGTATTCCAAGTAAAGCCAATATATGGATCTTGTACTATTCAGTACATAAGTGGTATGATAAAGGGTTCACACCCTGATGGCTCAATTGGTAAAGAATCAGCCTGCAATGCAGGAGACCCTGGTTCGATTCCTGGGTCAGGAAGATCCCCTGGAGAAGGGATAGGCTACCACTCCAGTATTTTGGACTGGAGAATTCCATGGACTGTATAGTCCATGGGGTCACAAAGAGTCAGATAAGACTGAGCAACTTTCACTTTCACTTTTCACCCTGGTGGCTCAGACAGTAAAAAATCTGCCAGCACTGTAGGAGATCTGGGTTCGATCCCTGGGTTGGGAAGATCCCCTGGATCTTAATGGTAGAAAAAGTGTCATTATGATATTAATGGTAGGGAAAGTATCATGAGTTTTATCAGCAGGGAAAATATCACATTATAAAATTTTTCAGCGGTATTGCCTGAATATTGATTTTGATTCAAAATCTCTGTCCTTGATAGATGGCATTTGATACTAGTAGATCCCTTTAAATCAACTTCTATGAAAAAAATTGCATGGGGAATAAAATGAAGCTTAAAATACAGTGCATGAAAAATAGGAAAAAAAAAAGGCTTATTGTGGATTAGATAGAAACTACAGTCCTTACAAAAGAGAGCTACATGCTTGAACAAATGACTATGTATATACGGACTCATTCAACAGTAGCTTTTAAAGGCTTCTTTCTCTTATTTTCACATACTCTGAAAGCATAATGAAAATAAAAGCTATTCTGAAAAATATTTGATTTACCTTGAAGAAAATATTCTTCATTCCTCAAAAGCTCTTCTTCCAAGAATAGTATTTCACAACCTGGAGGTTGGAACACTCATTAAATCTGTTATAAAAAAAAATCCTGCATGTTTCTAGAGAACATAGGTATTTATCTATGAGGGGCTAGGCTGTAGGGCGATAGTCAGTGTCCTGCAAGATAAAGCATGAGCTCTGTTTGTTTATCAGTGGAAAGGTGTTGGAAGGTTTCTGGTACCTTTATTTATTTATTGCTTTTGAATATATCTTTTCTCATAGAAATAGTTTTATAAATGCTGTCCCAATTCCCCCAAATAAACCTGTAAACGTATATTTAATCTAAATGTGGTAAAACTATAGGCTTTTCAGGTATTGCTAGTGGTAAAAAGAACCCACCTGCCAATGCAGGAGCCATAATAGATGTAGTTTTGATCCCTAGGTCAGGAAGATCCCCTTGAGGAGGGAATGGCAACCCATTCCAGTGATCTTGCCTGGACAGAGGAATCTGGCAGGCTACAGCCCAAAAGGTGGCAAAGAGTCAGACGTGATTGAAGAGACTTAGCATGCATGCATACAGACATGCATGACATAGCTATATTAGTAGTAGTAAATTCAGAGGTATAGGTACCTATTTCGTAGAATGAATGTTTGCTATCTTCTGAATATTGTGCTAGGTTCTGAGAATGCCAAGGTGAATAGGATGTGGTCTGTTTTCTAAAGAGTGCATAATAAGTGACCTGTATTTTAATGAATGGTTGTATAGTATATGAATTGTATCTTGATAAAACTGTTAAAATAGTGAGAGAAACAGGGTAAGAGTAAATCCATATTATTTTTTTTCTGATTCCATGACCAGCCTTAAAATTATTTTTAAAGTGTATAATTCATTGTAGTTTTTTTTAATATGCTCAAGGTTGTATAACCATCACATTTTCAACTCCTCTAAAAGAAACCTCAGTTAGCAATCAATTTACATTCTCTCATCCCTAACCCCTCTACCTAACCGTAAACAACCTTTTGTCTCTAAAATATTCCTATTCTAGATATTTCACATAAATGTAATCATATAACATAATTTTCTGTGCCTAATTAAGCTTTTAAACTAGAAGAAAGCAGGGAGTCTTAATTTTGAAGACATTCATTGAGGCATTTTATTTTATGAAAATATGAATAGAACAAAATGTATAAACTTTGGATGTTCTTGGGCCAATAGGAAAAGATATCAATAAAGAATGTAAGGTTACTCTAACAGGAGAAAAAAAGAGGCATTTCTAAAGGAGTGAAAGGAGAAATCTGGGTCTGCTAATGATGAAATAACCTTCAGAGGAGACACAAGGCCATTCTTCTGATGGAATGATTCCCCATGGAATTCTAATGGTGACAAGAATGAAACTTATGGTGTTGGAGGCATTTTTTTTATTAAAAACATTGGAGTTGCCAGTAAAATAGAAGGTTAGGTATATGAGAAGTGAAGATTGATGAGTGACAGTTACTGGATTGTTGAGAAAATTAAATGAGATAAATAGAAAGTGCCTAATTTGGGCTTCCCTGGTGGCTCAGAGGTTAAAGTGTCTGCCTGCAGTGCAGGAGACCCAGGTTCGATCCCTGAGTCGGGAAGATCCCCTGGAGAAAGAAATGGCAACCCACTCCAGTATTCTTGCCTGGAGAATCCCATGGAGGGAGGAGCCTGGTAGGCTACAGTCCATGGGGTCGCAAAGAGTCGGACACGACTGAGCGACTTCGCTCGTTTAACACAGCATTTGGTGCATATTTGCCACTCCGTGAACTGTAGCTAATTTCTATTTCCTTTGGAGGAAGAGAATACTGCTAGAGAGCATGACACAAGGCATGTGTCTCAAAGCCAGTTCTTATTAGTGAGTGCTGTGGAAACAAGGTGGGGTTTGGCATAGTTGACGAGAACCATGAATCAGAATCATGAAAAAGTCATCAGTATGAATTTTGATGCTGACAAAAGTAGTTCTAAGAGAAAACTTTAAAAGTGGTCATCTATAGTTGGTCTGCATGACCAAAGTAACAGAACTTGGAGTATTCTCTGGAAGAAAACAGTTGGCATACCGTCCTGAAGGTTTGGAGCATTGGCCCATTGGTTCCATGCTCCAGAATTGGCCATGGGATTGGGAGGTGATTCCTGTTTCTCTTTCCCTTTTGGATCTCACAGCATGACTTCTGTGAACCAGACTCTGTTCACTGTGGTGGAGGCAGGGTGGGTGCATAATGAAAACTTGATTATTCCTTCACTCAAAGAGCTTATAAGCTTAATAATGAAGATTATATGCCAAGAGACCATTTCAATATAATATAGCAAGTGTTGGGATAGAAGCTCTCTCGGCACTACAGAAGCCCAGTTGAGGACTTTCAGCCTGGTCAGTTCAGGGAGGTTTTCTCTAAAAACAAACACCTTGAAGGATAAGTAGAAGGAATTAAGGAAATTTTAATGGAAAATTGAAATTTTCCATTTCCATTAAGGACAATGGAAAAGATACTCTGGAGAGAGAAAACTATGAGCAGAAAAACCAGACATGAAACCACTTGGTTAGTGCATGGAACCACAAGCATCTTGACAGAATGAGGGTGTAACTGGGGGACAGTAAGTAAGGAGGAATGAAACTGGAGGGCCATGTCTTGAGAGCTTGTGTACAAGTCTCAGGAATTTGGTCTTGGAGAGGTTTAATCAGGGGAGTGATGTAATCAGCTTTGCAATTTAGATATATCTCTTTGCCTATGAAATGTGAAGCAGAATTAAGGTGGATGTCACTCAGACTTTTTGGGGTAACAGAAGGAACAGAGATTTTAAAATCTAACAGGGTGAGTTGCTGATGAACGTTACTTAACCTTGCTGTAAACTGAGTTTTATCCTCTGCAATATGAAGATTTATTACCTAAATTGTACAGTTTTGTGGATTCTTCTAGCACATAGAAAGCACTAAATAAATCAGTGACTGTTATTATTAGTAGTAGTTGTAGTACTGTTTGTTATTCTGACGAGAAGGGGGAAGACTAATAGGAAGTTATTTCAATAATCCAGCTAATGTCAACGATGGACAAGAAGAGACAAAAGTAGCAGAGGAATTGCGAGAAGATAGGAATCTCTTTGTGTACTATTTGCATCCTTACAAATGGCATCAGGAAAAATGAGCCTTTGAGAAAGAGTGAATATTTTTTTCCTCAAGAAATTAAGAGAGAAGAGTAGTTGGTTTAGGATTAAGGATTCCTTGTATAACCGGAACTGGAAAGAAGGACAGGTAGAAATGCCATGGGTTTAGAAAGAAAGGATGTGGAGATCAGTTACATAGAATTGAGATATCTGACCAAGCAGAGGGACCACTGGTCTTGCTAACAGTACCAGTGGAGGACACCACTAGATTGGTTTTAATAACAATGATGACAACCATTTAATTCATTCTTCATCCTCTTTGCTTTAAAATATCAAATAAAACACTTAGCTTTTTACTATTAATAGTCCCTGAGTCCCAGCTCCTTACCGTTCTGCTGAATTTTGCAACTGATTTAGATCTTCCTAGTCATCTTATGATAGGCAAAAACACCCAGCATCTTCTCAATTCCTGTACTTTAAACTGACAAATACAGTGAGTACATCGAATA